GAGCAAAGAGCACTTTGAGAGAGAGTATGAGGGTTTCTTAGTTGCTTCTTTGCTGGATTCCTGGTCATTCCTTTTTCTTTTTTGGTTGTACTGTCTGTGGTTCACCATTTGTGTTGATCAAAGAGGAGGAGGCACTTGGCCTTATGAGAATCAGAGAAAGTCATTACTTATTGTTTCTCTAAAAAGCAGAATGGTCTTCAGCACACACACACCTTTGGCTGCCTTCCTTTGTGTCACATGTGTGGGACCCAAGGCTGGGTGCTAATGGGCTTCAACACTGCTGATGTATTTGGGGAAAGACTGGCACTAGGGTCTTGGATGTAGCCTAGTATTTAGGAGAGCATATTTATAGTTTAGGTCATGTGGAACTAGAGGATTGAATTCCTTTCTTAATGTTTGTTAGCCTTGTTTGGTTATAGAAAACCATGGTGAATGCTTGCTAGTTTTGGAAAGCTTTTACAACTGAAGAAGCCTTGGGAGCTTAGGTTTTGAAACCTCACCACTTGTTTGTGTCTGAAAATCCATCTCATGAAAGTAGCCAGCAGACTCTTCTGAAAACTTGTGAGGTTTTGACAAGGGCACCTGACTCGTCTCACAATTACAAAGACTTTACAGGTGCCATTACATTTAGACTGTCTGGTTTTATTGAATAGGTTAAATTCCCACTGCAGAGAAGAGTGTGAAAGTAAATCCCAGGTAAACAGGCATTATGGATTTTTTAAGAGGAGTTGCAAAGAAATGCTTACTGAGTGTTCAGTCCTTCTGATTTGCTGAATATGGCAAAAGATAACAATTCTTTCCTTTCTGCAAAGCCAGAGTGCACCTCAAACTCACCACTTCTCCAAAACCTAGTGCTTTATCCATCATTACTGAAAGCTTTGGTACTGGTTTTGTTAATTTTCTCACATTGCAAATGTTCATGATCCGCTCGTTCTTCCTTGGAGGAAAGTTGTCAAAAATAAGTAATGCTATTAATCGCACATCTTCATTAGCTGAGCTGTCTTTCTGCTGCTCATTATCAGCCTCTAGCTTCCTTCACAAAATGTCTCTGTTTGTTCAAAAGCCTATTTGTCTGCTGCCCCTGCATTTTGAGATACATTTCAGCTTCACCAACTTTAATTTGAAGGTTAATGCCAGTAAGAGTCCTGGAGTTAAGAAAATGCTGAAGACTGTGTGGTGGTAGAAGAGCTTTACAGCACTAGGGTATTGTAAGAAGAATGTGAAAATGGACACAAATGGAAGATAAGAGTAAGGTGTGATAATTAAAGGAGAAGTTAAAAATAAATAGTATTTTATGCAGGCAGGTAGCAATTAAAGGTTCCCGGAGGAAGTGGGTGAAAGTATGTGTCTCAGAGGACTTTAAACTGATGGTTTCTGCATTATAATGACTTTTAGATGTCCTCAAGGTTTGCTGGATGTTCCAAACTTCAGTCCTCTGTTTCTTGCAAACATATCCCTGAATTTGCTAAATTATTTTCATTTGGTAAATCATGGATGTGGATTCTGTTTCCTTCAGAGTTGTTTAAATGGAATCAGTTTATCATTAGGCTACTGAGAAACCTCTTATGATTGTATTTCTGTGATAGTTACACTATACACTCCATTTTTAGATTTCTAGGATTATTTGCTTTACTAGACACAACAAATGCATTAGCATATGGTTCAGCTTCAGATTTGTGAGCTTGGGAAGACATTCTGCAATGGCTCTCAAATTGTTGAGCTACTGTGCAACATTTTAGGATCCGTAAATGTTTCCTAATGGGAAACTTCTCTGCAGGGTTGTGATTTAAGCCCAGCTGGTATTTGATCACTGCATAGCTACTCAATCAGCTTGGAAGGGAGATGGTGTGAAAACTTGTGGGTTTGAGATAACGACAGTTTAATAGGTAAAGCAAAAGCTGCACTTGTGAGCAAAGCAAAACTAATCCATCCCTCACTTTGGAGGGGCAGGCAGATGTTTCTGGAGATGTTCCATCTCCAGAAAAGCAGATCTCCACCATCCACTAAGGGTGACTTGGGAAGGCAAATGCTATATATGCTGAATGTCCCTCCCCTTCCTTCTTCTCTCTCCAGCTTTATATGCTGAGCATGACACCATATGGCTGGGGGTGTTCTTGTGGTCAGCTGGGGTCACCTGTCATGGCTTTGTCCCCTTCCAGCTTCTTGTGCACCCCCAGCCTCTTCACTGGGGGGGCACTGCTTGATGCAGAAAAGCCCTTGACATAGTGCAAGTGCTGCTCTGCAATAATGAGAACTTTCCTTTGTTACCAGCAGTGCGTTCAGCACAGATGCAAAACACAGAGCAATACCAGGTACTATGACAGAGTTGAACTCTTCCAGCCCAAACCACTACAACAGAGCAGAGTCAAACATTGATTATGGGGCAAAGATTTGTTTGAATCTCTGCAAAGAGAAGGATAAAATAGTAAAATGCTTTGTGGGTAAGTAAATACTCCAAAGTCAATTAGGAGCCAGAAGCCCTGTTGGAGCAGCAGTAGATATTCAGTGATTCCTAAAAATGTAAGGCCAGTTGTCTTCTCTGAGTATTTTAAGTATTATTTCTGCTCCACCAGTGGTATTTCAGGCTATTTTTTCAAGGGAGAGCTGAGCTGTGAAATATTTACCAAATATACACTAATGTAACTGATGTGAGATTATCTTTTTGGTCCAAATGGTTTAAATAAAAGAGCTGCTTAGACAGAATCTTGTTATATAACAATATGTTATTTAATGTGTTCAAAACCACCTGTGGGATAAATTCAGTTTTCCTAGGCACAGCATTGCAAGATGTTATGTTCCTGGTTTGTGGGCAGTTCTGCAATTTTGAGCTGGGCATGAAATTACAGATAGGAAGGTTTGGGCATTGAAGACTAGGATCCACAAAGTCTAAATCACCCAGGAGGAAATCAGAGGAGAGGAAACAGAGTTCAAGCCTGTTCTTGTTCAGAAGCAGATGTAAATACTCTTGAGCTGTGCTACTCTTCATGCATTTATGTATGAAAGTTGTATCAGCTCTTTCCTGTGCAACACACACAAAAAGGGAACTGGATATCCCAGTGCACACTACAATCTGCTGTGATGTGGCTGATCTGCCTTCAGATCTCCCTCTGCCCAATTTGGCAGAAGGATTTGAGCAGAAACAGTTTACGACTGCCACTAGCCCAAAAGCATACTCAGAGATGACTCTAGGTCTGTCATGTCAAAACTCCTTTCATAGAAAATACTAAGTAATTATTGGCCAGGGAGAAATTAGAAGACAGTGACTATTTTAGGTTGGCAGTTTAGGCACTGAAGTGATGCTGAAAAGTCTCTTTGCCAATAAATACTGTAAAGTCTGTTGATGCTGTTCTACATCAAATCATTAAATATCCATTGGATAGGCATAGGAACTTAACTGCTGTATACCACATGATCAGATGAACCTCTGACTTTGCTACCCCCTCTCCTCATTTCACAAAGGTCACTTTATTTATGCAAAGTGAAGCTGCTTTTCCAAATTAGTTTTGACATGTTTTGTTGCTGTGTCAGGTCATAAATCCCATTAGGTCTCTGTTCCATTGCAGAAAGGTGAGATGTAAGACAAGATACTTTGGGATGAGCAGATAGAAAACTAAATGTATGGTAATTCTCTCTTACCCATCATAAGGGAAGGAACAAAGGTGACATGCTGATGGGAAGGTGAGATTTTCCATATCTTGTGTCCATTGTCTAAATGGCTTTTTGGTATCCTATGTGTGCACCCTCTCACAGCCCGCAGAGACAATGTTCTCTCTTGGTAAATCATCACCACTAAACTGGAAGGGGTGAGGGGATGAAGATGCAAGTGCTCAGCAGATTTAGGGACACATTTGAGCTGTGCCATGTCACTGCTGAGTTTGCAAATCCAGGGTTATGGGAGAAGTGGGAAAATGCCATAGAAACGAGTGCCTCTGAGATGGTACAGAGTAGGTCTTTAGCTCATTTTTCAGCTGTCTTACCTCCCCACCTCTTTTTACAGGTGTATATTCTGAACCACACAAGCCACCTCCTGCCAAGGTCACACCAGCCTTGTGTGAAACCCTCCACAGAGGATCCTCACTTTCCCCTGGCCCTCAGGAAGGGCTCCCCTGGGGCAGGGATGTTTGAGGGTCAGCACAGCCAGGCTGGCAGTGGTTGTGGGGGCAGCAGTGTGGGGTGTGGCGAGCACAGGCTGAGCCTGCTGGGTGGGCACAGCAGGGCCATGGGGCAGGTGGAGCATCAGGTACTGAAATGGGATTATGGATGTTGACACACACATCCCAGCTTCCCCCTCAGGCTGGAGCGCTGTCTGTGTTGCATCATTGCAGTAGCAGCAGAGAGCCATGTTTGGATCCTGAGGGTGGTGTGTCCCAAATCCTTTGAGAAACAGCCTGGGAGCAGTGTGGACCCCCCCCCCATCTCCACTGAGAAGGATGCAACACCTGGGTCAACACAGCACTGCACTCTGCCTTTCCTCCGCACAGGCTGGACCCATGGGCTCCCCAGACATGGCTGCAGGAAGCTCAGGTCACCCCTGGGTTCTCTGGCTGCTTCTGTGGAGAGCTCAGGTCACCCTTGGTTTTCTCAAATGTGGCTGCAAAGAGCTTAGTTTGTTTTTGGGCATCACAAGATGATAAAATAGCCACATTTTTAAAGCAGCTCAGCTAGCTGCAAACCTGCAGGTGCACAGGGCAGGCTGGAGGGTGTGCTTTGAGAACACCCAAACCCCTTGAAAGCCTGGCTCGCTTTGTGCAGGCAGAGCCCAGAGCAGGAGGGGCCCAAGGGCAGCCCTGCTCCCATCCGTGTCACTGGGCCGCACAGGAGGGGGAGGAGGAGCTTCCGGGGGCAGAGGGGGCAGTTCCATCGGTGTCCGTTTAACGGGCATGGTGTGCGGTGCGTTCAGGCCCGTTTGGAGAGAGCTGCTGCTCTGGGAGGACGGGGCAGTGAACTACTCTGAGGCAAGAGCAAGTTTCTGAGCTGAGGCCTCGCTCTCACCTACTGGCATGCTACCCCAAACCCGGGCTCAGCAGAGACTTTTGATCAAAGGGGGAAAAGTTGTGAATGATGACGTCTCTGTGGTGGCTGACGTGTATGTGGAAGATGGAGTGGTGCGGCAGGTGGGCCCGAACATAAACCCGGAGCCCTCGACTGGACTTGTTGTGCTGGATGCGACCAACAAGCTGGTGATCCCTGGGGGCATCGATACTCACACACACATGGAGTTCCCTTTCATGGGTAGCAGGTCAAAAGATGACTTCCACACTGGAACCAAGGTGGGTGCACATGTGCATGTCTGTGTGTGCATCTGGGCTTTCTCAGAGAGGGCTGCCTGCTGGTCCTCCAGGATTATTTCTGAGAGAGAGAAGAGAATGTGAATCAAGCATGGCCAGTTGATCCTGTCCCTTTGGCTGGGACATTGTCATAAAGTAGGTGGGGTACTCAGAGGTCCACCCCAGCCAGAATGTTATTTGGGCTCCTCCAGAAACTATTGTGATTGCAGGGGTCAAGTGGGGCAGGCATTTACCCTGGCTGTCAGCATGCAGGCTACAACCAGCTTTGGTGCATCAAGCTTCATACTTCTCTGAGCAAAGGTTAACTAAAGCAACAGTTTAATTCCCCTGTGCTGTTTAAGCATTTCTCTGGTAAACTGATCTTTCTCCTCTGTTAGCATGAGGGAATGCAGGCTTTTCTTCTGCCATTCACTTTGGTGCTTACTGTGTGTCTCAATGAAAGTCCACTTCAAATACACTTTATGAAAGTACATTATTTCTCCCAGTCTTACACTTGGAGTGGGTTTTTTTTCAGCTTTTTAGCTGATCTTATTATATACCCTGAATATGAAGAGTGTATCAGTTACTCATAATAGCAGTATTACGTATCATCTCCATACAGTTTCCATAACCAAAACTTTCAAGGCACTTTTCTAAGAGCTTTGTTGTGCAGACTGAAAGCCTTTGTTCACAGAAAGGATCACATTGCCCCGCTTGATTTGTCTGCTAGCCATCACCTTCACAGAGATTGTTATACCCAGCTCCTCTCACAGGAGAACTGGGATTTACTAAAAAGCAGAAAATAAGTTTTTAAGGTTTTCTCAGTAACTCTGAGGTACTTAAAGGGCAGGGAAGCTTCAAGACAGAGGCTGCATACACAAAATGGGATGGCCAGATAGTTGCTTCAGTGCCTGCAAGAAAATTCTAGATCGACCTTAGCAGTCAGATGTCAAAAAGTTAGACATTGTGGCTATCCTTAACCCAGGTCAAAGTGTGGAAAGTGTTCAGACCTATTTACTGGAGGTCATCCTCTGACAAATATTTTGGCAAGAAATTCAATGAGACAGAGTTGTATTCCAGGTATTGCAAAATATGCTACAATGATTAGCTAAGATTTACCCATTCAGTTGAATAAGTAAAGGCATCTCTCTTTACAGACAGAGGGGGAAAAAGATGTAGGGAATAAAAGGAGATTCAAGTGGAGTTGTGGAACCCATGACTTTTTTTTTTTTTTCTTGAAGTCTATAAATTTTATTTAAATCCTGTTTAACAAATAAGTCAATCAATCTTGTTAAAAAATATTTGACAGTTTGAACAACTTTTCTGGGAGAAAATGTTTTGCTCAATTCATTAGGGATTACAAATACTTGTGTCACTTTCCAAATTTCTCTTTTTGCAAAATATACTAACATATTTACAATTATTCTTCTGAATTCTAAATGAGCAGAAGGAAGAAAGAGACGAATTGTCATAGAAAAAGGAAGAGTAATACAGTATGTGGGACCTGGACTGGGTGGATAGATGGGCTGAGTCTGACAATACAAGGTTTAACAAGTCCAAGTGCAGTGTCCTGCACTTTGGCCACAACAACTCCCTGCAGCGTTACAGGCTGGGGACAGGGTGGCTGCACAGTGCCCAGGGGACCTGGGGGTGCTGGCTGACACCAGACTGAACATGAGTCAGTGTGTGCAGGTGGCCAAGAAGGCCAAGGGCATCCTGGCCTGTATCAGCAGCAGTGTGGCCAGCAGGACCAGGGAGGTCATTCTTCCTCTGTACTGGGCACTGGTGAGGCCACACCTTGAGTGCTGTGTCCAGTTCTGGGCCCCTCAATTCAGAGAGAGCTTTGAGTGCTCAAATACCTCCAGAGAAGGGCAGCAAGGCTGGTCTGGAACACAAGCCCTGTGAGGAGCAGCTGAGGGAGCTGGAGCTGGTCAGCCTGGAGGAGGCTCAGGGGAGGCCTCGCCCTGAGAGGAGGGTGCAGCCAGGGGGGCTTGGTGTCCCAGAAAACTGGTGACAGGACAAGAGGACACAATCTGAGCCAGGGGAAGTTTGGGCTGGACATTAGGAATAAATTCTTCACAGGAGGAGTGATTGGGCATTGGAAAGGGCTGCCTGGGGAAGTGGTGGAGTCACCATCCCTGGAGGTGTTCAAAGAAAGACTGGATGTGGCACTTAGTGCCATGGTTTAGTTGATAAGGCGGTGTTAGGCCATAGGTTGGACTTGATCTCAAAGGTCTTTTTGAATATGGCTAATTTTGTGATTCTCTGATCCTGTGAATTTGGGCTGTGCACATTTTGATCTGAATTGATTGTTGCTCTTTTGCAAAGGGACATTGTTCAGAGCAATAGAGAGGATTTCTTTTGCTAATCTGGAAGAAAGCAACAATTTCAACAAAGGAACTTTTGTATTAGATCAATTTCTTTTAGTCAAGAATCTGGCATCTGTGTAACTTTTTTTCCCTTCAAAGGCAAGAAAAGTAATAATTCAGTTTTCCATTAATAAGAATGGAAATTATTGGTTAAAAAGCAATTTTTGATCACCATTCATCTGTTAAGTTGTAGTTTATTTTATTACTTTACAACATTTATGTAGAGAATGTAAATTCCTCATTCTATTTAAAACCCTCTATACAGTTTTACTAAATGATATTCTGTTTCTAATAAAAATACGTTTTTAAACACTGTAAAATATTTTAGTATTAGTCAAGAGTTTGGGGACTTTCATATTGAATTTTCAAACTCAATGGCGTTTTTTTGTTGCTGTGTATTTGCCCCTTAGTACTTGCCTGTCACTGAAGCTTGTTTTTTCCACTACACAGACTCTGAGGCAGCACATCTCAAGATGACTGTGCTCTTCTAGTGCTCTTCTTCCTCAGTGATTCCACACACTTGAGGAAACTCGCTGATGCATAAACACTACAGACACATCTCCACTTCTTTCATAAGTTTTTGTACACGAAGAGAAGCTTCTCCTTCAGTGTGAGAATTTCACTTGGATTCTCCTGAACATGCTTTTGAGAACATTTTTCTCAAAGCAAAGGAAATTAATCTCCAAAATCATTTTTCGAGTCTGGACTTTACTCAGGGGAACTCCTCAGTGGCTTTTGGGTTTTCAGTCCAGATTAATTGATGTAAGGGAGTTGGACAGGGTGGAAGGAAATCTGCATTATTTCTGATTGCTAAATATTAACTTTCTTCTTTTCAGGCAGCTATAGCAGGAGGAACCACTATGATCATCGACTTTGCCATCCCTCAGAAAGGTTGTTCTCTTATTGAAGCCTTTGATACATGGAAAAGCTGGGCAGACCCAAAAGTCTGCTGTGATTATTCATTGCATGTGGCAGTTACATGGTGGAGCAACAAGGTAGACACAAGAGCTTTATTTTAAATTCCATAAATTTGTACTATGCCTGTTTGGAATCAGTCTTCATGTGCTAAATACTGCTTGCTGGTTAGTGATTTTGTGATTAAAAACATTTGAAATAATCCACACCCTTCTGAGAGTATAGGTATTTGAAAGAAGTCTGCAGATAGGCTGTATCTCTGGATAATACTGCACAAAGTTAAAGGAAGGGATTGTGCAAGACAAAGACCAGGCAGGTCAGAGGGGGAAAGAGGTGTTCACAATAATTTTGTCTTTTGTTGCTTGAACACTTGATATTTTATGCTTCTGATGAGTTTTAGCGGTTTTGGTTGGTTTGTTGTTTTTTTTTTTTAAGTGCATACATAAAAAATATGGTACTTGACTTCATTTGTAGGGGAAGATTTATTTTCCTGGGTGGCTGCAGTAAAACCCATGTAAAGTAAAGCAGGACTGTAGCCAATAGTACATTGAATGTGAAATAATCTAAAAAACCTTTTTTGAATTTACATATGGGAGAATCATCTTAGCTGAGTGAATGTTTGCTGATACCCTGAAAGCTTCACTGATAAATTAATTTTTCAGGTGCTTGATATTTATCAGAATGAGACCCATGTTTTACAAGATGACTTTGGATTCTTGGAGAACTATGCATCAGTACACAAATATACTAAGTAAATTCCTATTTTATATATGAGTACTTTTTCTAATTTTTAAATTCTAGAATATATGCACCAAAGCATTCACTCTGCAAACAACACATCTTTGGTATTCTGTGTACTGAGTGCTAAAATAGCCTCACCACAACTTCTAACTTAAGGCAAAGGCATAAAATAAATTCTTCAATGAAATATGAGTAATGTGCATTTGAAACAGGCTCAGCAGACAATCGTGGAATTGTACGGACAAATCCAATAAAAATAGGGAGATGTAAATCAATGAAATGTTCTAGTTTATATTAAGAATGTAGCTGTTTTTAAAGGCCAAGATTAAAAGAAATAGGTTGGGCATTTTGTAGATGCAAAAGGCCTGGGTGAAAAAGACTGATATGCCATACCCATCTGATCAGCTCTCATCTCATCAGAATTTGAACTATTAATTAAAAGCATGCATTCTTTACAATGCCTTCTGTTAGTTGTAGTAAACAGTGAAGAGGATAAATGACATGCCTCTATATTTGTGCCATTTTGTCAGGTACTTATTTGATAACTGCCACTCAAAATGTGCTCCCATCCCTCCTCTGGATAACTAAAATATTTCCTTGAATTTTTTGTATATCTTACCCTTCTTGGGCAGACTCAACCAGATTATTAGAGAGAAGATGAAAAATAATATTTTACTTTTTGAAAGGAATTAATCCTATGGAAATTTTAATAGCATTACAGATGCATATCAATTACTGTAACCATCATTTTACTGGGAGGGGAGAACCAAAGTTATATAATATATGTTTCTAGCTAACCAGTTGTGCAAGAAGTCTTGAGACTAAAATATGTGTCTTACTTTCTTTGTGATGATTGCATTGCATTGTGATGCAATGTTTTGCTGGGCTTCATAGGCTTTAGCAGAAGCAGGGGAATCCTATCAGGAGTGAATAAAAAAAAAAAAAAAAGAAAGGCAGGCCTTCATGTAGCATTTTGGAGCTATTTTGTTTGACAACAAAATGTTTCAAAAGGCTCTGTGTGTTGTTTAGAGTCAGGACAAAGCTCTGTAGGATGAAATCTTTTCTATCACTGTGTTGTTTGCTAGAAGCTGCAGCCCACTGCGGTCCAATTTTGAAAATCGGTTTTGCATAAATGTCCATGTTGTGAGAGTTGGACGCATTGACTGTAATATTAGAATGGGTGTTTCCAACACCAGGAGGTTTATTTGAAATAAAATTCTGCCTCATTACCTTTTGTAAAAAGCATTCCCTCCTGCAATTAGTTTGTGCTTCCAATATTTGCACTGCAGTGCTACCCTTTTATATACTTTAAGAATCAATTTGATACAAGAAGAATAGTCTAAACCAGTCTTTAAGTATGCAACTTGGGCTACTTGTACTGAACATATGTTTGATGAGTGAGTAAAGGATCACCTTCCATACTTACAATTTCTTTATACGAAATTATTAATATGTAAAATACAATTGCTGTATTTTTCAGGTGAAGCAAGAAATGGAAAGTCTTGTTCAAAACAAAGGTGTCAACTCCTTCAAGATGTTTATGGCCTATAAAGATGTATACATGGTCAATGATGAGGAGCTGTATGAAGCCTTTTCCTGCTGTAAGGAAATTGGGGCAGTTGCTCAAGTCCATGCGGAGAATGGGGAGCTAATTGCACAGGTGCACATTTGACATTTTTTCCATCCAGGCACTAGGCCTAGGTCTGTCCAGGATCGTCAGCTCATGCAACAGAAGCAGATCCAGAAGTATGGAGAAAGCTCCACTGGCTGGGCACAGAAGTCTCAACATCCCTCTGTGCATAATTCATAAATGCTTCACTTCATACCTGCTTCTGCCACCCTAGAGCTGAGTGGAGGCACTGAGAGCTCTGGGGCCCTGAGCTGTAACTCCACTGGTAATACTCGACATCAGTGGGAGCTTGAGTGGCTCTATAGAATAGTTTCTATTCCAGTCAACAGCGTTTTGACTCTGCCGCAAGTCCTGTAACAGAAATTAATTAGTTGCTAAATAAACTCAAATCAGCAAATGTTAAATTTAGTCCCAACATAGGGACAAAACCTTTTTGCCTTTTAAAACCTCTTTGCCTCTTGGAGTTTTCAGATGCTCTGGATATATATGCATCTTTGTATTTAGTAAGAATTTTTCCTTTTTTTTCCTCCCCAGTGAAAGTTAGTAGCATCATTGGACATCATTGGCCATGATATTTCAGTGTACATATTGAGAGAGGGGTAAGATTTTCAAGAGCTGTGATTTAATCCTGCAAGCCAGTGAAATGTCTTCTCTGAATTTACTTAAGTATTCTAAGACCTGAATTTATTGAGAGATATGTTAGATTTCAGATAAAACTACAGTAACTTATTTTGGAAAAAAATCACAACTCCTTAGTTGTTTTTTTCCCTTAGCTGCAATGGCTGCTTCAGAATCCATTTGACTGGCAGCATGCTCATGACACCATAGATACACTTTAACTGACTCTTACATGCTTGTGTGGGGTCTGCAGGGTGCAAAGAAGATGCTGGCAATGGGCATAACTGGCCCTGAGGGTCACGAACTGTGTCGTCCTGAAGAAGTGGAAGCTGAAGCTACACAAAGAGCCGTTACCATAGCAAATGCTCTCAACTGCCCCCTTTATGTCGTCCATGTCATGAGTAAATCTGCAGCTAAGGTGATAAGTAATGCACGAAGAGAAGGTAAAAGTTGTAATTCTTTTATGCTTGGACAGTGGCATTGGGGGAAGGGTCATGGAAAACCAAACACAGCATTAGTGTCTTACTTTTCATGGGTGTTATAAGCCTCAGATCATGGGTGAATTTCTTGGAGCAGGATGTCTAAATTGTGTGTGTGTGTTTCTGTCTGTCTGTCTGTCTGTCTGTGTATTGTTGGGCTCAAGGGGAGCAGTGTGTAAGAACAGCACCCACAATTCTCCCCAGAGCAAATTTTTTTCTCTTCATATTGTACCTCCAAGGTCAAAGTGATGGCCAGAACAGCATTATTGCAAAAATGATGTGACCAGTTCAAGACAATACTCTACTGTTCTTATCTCTTGAGTGCAAGGCTTTACCAAATATCTTGATGAGAAATTCTATAACAGAGACCACGCCATATTTTTACAGACAGTGCCATGATGACTCCTATTCGCTGGGCATTTAAAAGTCATGGTGAAGATGACAGTGTCTGAAAGCCTTGATTCTCACCAGTGCAGAGCTGCTCAGGTTTGCACTGCAGTGTTCACAAATAACTCTGGTCAGCCAAGGGGGCCTGGCTTTGCTGACCATCTGTTGGGTAGGCTAGAAGCAGCCTGAAGGCTGTAGGTATTCAGGATGCTTCATCTCCTCATCTCTAAATTCATCCAGAGCAGCATGTGGAACAACAGCACTGTGAGGAGACATTATCAAGGTGGAAGGAGCAGGACAGGAGCCCAAGATTTGGCAGACTTAAAATTATCTGTCCTCATTATCTTTTTGAATAATTTTTACTATGATTTTACATCTTTTGCATTTACAGCTTGTTTTCACCTGACTTGATATGAATTTCATATAGACCTCAGTTTTGCTATTTCTTGTCTTTAGATAATGCCTACGCAGGAGGTATAGATTATTAATATTAAAACATAGAGTATGAGATCATGATAAATCAAAGCAGTGTGATAGAGTATGTTTATGCACAATATGTATGTCCATGACTTCTATAAGATTTAGCAGTAATTCAAGTTTGTGAAAGAATTTACCAGAATATATTTTATTGGCACATTTTCTACTGTGCTATACTGGATTCCTCCACTAGATGCCAGTGCTGCCAGGAATGTGGATTATATCCATGGGTTGGTTGTACATTCACAGGGTGTACATTCACAGGGTGCACATTAACTACAAGTTATGACAACAGTTGAAATACCCAGATTAAAGATGAAAAACATAGAAGAGCTAAGATAGTGTTTTATAATACTGTTCAAGTAAAGAATTTTATGCTGACACTAAATACTGTAAAACATTGATGAGGCGTGTGTTGTAAGAATAGTCTACAGTGCCAGTTTGATTACTGAGGATAGATGTATGCTTTCCCAATATTGCTAAGAAAAAATTGGGACAATTGATGCAGATTGGGGAGCAAATTGTATTTTATGGCCTCCTGGGCTGCTGCAGTCAGATTCACCAATGCTTTCTTTTGTGCACAGCAAGATATAACATATCTTCATAATTCATATCATCTGCGTAGAAGTATACTGTTTGGAAAAAAGAAATCTAAGATTGATTAAGAAATGTCAAAAGATAACTAGGGTACCACAAAGGTAGTTACAGGAATTGCAGTTTTTAATGAGATTGATCTGTATGAATTTTGGTAATTGAAAATTCACTGCTGTTGGTTTCAGTAGAAGTTATTTTTCATTTTTCAGTAAAGAATGGTAATAAAAAGCAAGGAATTCCAGACAAAAAAAAATATTCTCAAAGTATTGTATGAATGACATAAATAAAACTCAAATAGTTTGAAGAAAGACATTCAGTTTGGACAGGTTAAAAACCACTCTAAATGTGAAATTTGTGTAAACTCTTAAATACTGGAAGCCTCTCATACATTTGAAATATTCACTCTAAAACAATTTATGCATCTTTTCAAGATCATTTCTCCATGTCTTGATGCTAGCTTCCTGCTGTTCACAATTGTGAAATTATTAATGTTTCTTTTCAAGCACTTAGCATGAAATACAAAGTGTGTGTACATATTCATCCCTGCCCATGTCAGAGGAAGATTGATATCCCTTCCAATTCCATCACTGACCTCAGAAGGGGAAAAACAGATCTTCAGTGAGTGAAATCTATTTTCTGGTTGACAGTGTGATACCAGAATTGAATTGCAATTGCATTGCTTCTGAAATTCTATGAGACAGTGATTTTCCTAGTCAAAAATGTAACTCAGAGCCCAACTCTTCCTTGTCACTCATTTAGCTGCACAAGGTGAGAGCTAACATTAGAGGCTGAAGGCCTGATAGAGCTTGCTCTAGACACTAAGCATAATTCTGTTGTCTTCAGTGAGCTAAGGCTCAGACCTTGAAGGTTATAATCAGTCATACACTCTGTAGAGGACCAGCAGTTCTTTTTCTAGATTAAGCAAATTTAAGAGAATGAGGTGAGCAAAAGTCTTTCCTTCTCTCTTCCATGCCAGAGTTCACCATCTATGTCTCCTCTGATCTCCAGCAACACCACTCAAGGAAGAACTTCAGATTATAGCAGCATGTTTTTCATGTACATCTGTGATAGCTGCTGAATATTCAGCAGGGAATCCAAAATTCCACACTGTGGCCATGTTGGAGAGGGACAAGCTAACTCATGCCCCTATCCTGTTATTTCTGTGGGGTCCTACCAGCCTGTTTGCCAAAAGCAAGGCTCAGCAGCTCTCCACTGAGAGGATCAAAGACAGCACCTCTGTGAGAACAGCAGTGTGTGACGGGTGTGACAGCACCTCTGTCCTTGCTTGTCTCAGTGGGCTGTTTCTTCATCCCTGTGCAAAATATGGCCTTGAATCTGGACAGAGTCGGTAGAGGAACTGTATTCTTCTACATAAGGGCAGTTTGATACATTTGTGTGCATGACACTCTTATTCCCTTAAGTGGGAAGACAAAAGGGATTCTCTTCCTGCTATTGTGTAAAATCTTCCCTCCAGTGAAAATAAAAGGCTGTAGAGCTCTCATGTCAGGCAGTGCAGCTCCTTCTCCTTATTAGGATTACCTGATGGGACCTTGTCAAGCACTCCTGCCACCAGAAATGCTTGTGGAGAGAGCAAGGCTAATAAAATGGGATTTAGGGGTACATGATTTATACTGTCTCCTCCTAAGAGATGCTTTCAATCTAAGCTAAATCTCAGCTAAAGGTGGAGACTATAGAATCATAGAGTGGTTTGGGTTGGAAGGGACCTTAAGGATCATGCAGTGTGATGATTAAAGGTCAGGTCCCTTTTCTCATTTAATGTGATGCTACAGCCAGTAATGGAACTCTCTAGTGGAAACCTGGAGAGCACAATCTTACTGAAAAAGTAATTTTTAATAAAAATTTCTCCTTTTTAAAAAGGTGCATAGAAAAACATGTCCTTGGCCAGGTTCTAAGACAGTTATTTAGGCTTACAAGATTGCTTCCTACCAACAGTCACGGGTTATGTCTCTTCTTGGTGAGGGGAAAGGCATGTCCATTGCTGAGGGAATACAAACTCTCAAGCTGATTTTGAGCGCAGGAATGCAACTAAAAATGTCAATTTTTAGCTGTTTCATGCGGGACAGCTCAGGCCCACGCTGTGTATAGGCTAATGGATGCAATGCTATCTGTGATTCAGTAAACCCTGCCTTGCAGTTCTGCTCCTTTCAGAGCTCGTGAGTATCTTTGCCCCATATGACCTTATCCTAAGTGCTTCTAAACTTCTACTAGAATAAGAACATATGGACCAGTTTTTCAAATCCGTCAATGTTAGTTGGTGTTTATCAGTATTTCAACTCTTTTTGAGTTCTGGTAGGTGGTACAAAAATAGCAATTGAATGCTCTTCTTTTTGATAAAGCAATCTATTAAAAATAGCCTTGGCTAGCCAGTTAGGGCATGTGATAAAAAGTCACCAAATACACCAGCTGCTCAGAGGTGTCAGGAAGACCAAGCAGCAGAACACTTAGTGGTTCCTTTTTTAATTGAATGCTGGAAAATATAACAGTTTGAAAGACATGATTTATTACTGCATTACTTCACTTCTATGCCTATAGGCAGAAGTCAATCAAGCTAGAAGAACCTTAATGCAGAATTCCCTTGTTGCCAGTTCAGCTGAAAGAGCCTTAGTGCAGAATTTCCTTTTTACTAGGCTTAAAGCAGAATCTTGATATTATTGTATCCTTCAGGCTGGCTTGTCATGGCCCAAGTGAAATGCAGGAAGTTGCACATTCAGCAGAACTGTCCAGAGGTAGTCTGTTGAAACTGCAGTGTTCAGACTCAAAATCACTTGAGGGAATAACTTCTGTTCCTCCCCACTCATGGGAACAAAGGGAGCTGGTCAGTTCAAACTCTGACTGCAGAAATACTGTCATCAGCTATGGTACATGAGCTAGAATCAGTTCAGCATATCCAACTGGGAGCTTGGAAACTTCTTTTCATTTTCATGTTGTGAAACTATGATGAGAAAATTATTTTTCTATTATTCTCTGAAGTATTTATTAAGCAAAAAAATTATTCTTTTCCTGCAATTTTAATTCTAATAATTTGTAGCTATGTCCTAATGATTTATAGCTCAGGTTTACTTTGGATGAAAGCTTCTTTAGCTTGTTTAAATGCAGAAGAAGAGACACAAACCACACGTCCCCTCCCTCCCCTCTCTGGTGGCTTTGAAAATGAAAAATCTGCCAAAAGACTAATAGGTAAATGTGACAGATTGGTTACATATACCAGACCTTCTCTATATACATCTACTTTGGTGGCAGCCTACCCTCAAATACAGTGTTTGGACTTGGCCAGGGAAGACCAAGGGTTCCTGCAAGAGTCAGGGAAGACCTTGAACTAAGGTGAACCAGGTTTCATCCTAATTTCGTCCATTCTCCTGGGTTTATCCATGTCTCTTCTTAGGTTTCCTCATTCAGCTCTGAATTAAGAAAACACTGATCTGCTCACATCTCCTCATCAGTGAGTGATCATATCACTTCCATGCATGGCCTCATAGTCAGTGCTTTTGAGCTCCAAAAATAAGATGTAAAAAAACCAGTAAATATCTGCCTAAGTCATGTTTTCAAGTCTAAAAATGGTAGTCTCCCTCTGAGCCCAATATGTAGGTAAGTGGGACTGAGAACTTAGAATGCTCCAAGCCAAAGCATCAACATGAGACAAGCACATTGAGCATGTCAGAGTGCACTGACACCAAGGTGGTTGTAGCAAATTAGTAATGCTAGCAGGGAGGCTTTAGGCTGTGGACAAAGTTGTACTAGGTTGTACTTGGAATAAATGTACAGTTCAGTTGTACCAAAGCAGACTTTGAACCATGTAGAGATAAAGTTGTTTGAGGCCTTTTAGCAAATCTAGCAGAAAAGATTTCAGGAATGGCACTAGTGCAATGAGAAGTGTATTTTGAAAACAATTGAGCTCCTCAGTATCTACCTATGCCAGTGCAGGAGTTACAATCCAGTAGCTCACACAAGTAGCAGTCTAATGTACAGAGAGAGATCTGCAAAGCTTTGCTTTTTCTTTCCCCACAGTACCATGCCTGCATGACTTACACCCAGAAGTCAGAGAAAGGTCACAGGGTGGTAGCACCAAGCAATCACCAGCTGTGGCCTTGCTGGGGCAATGCAGTGGTGGTTCCAATAGAAACTGTGTCTGGAGTGAAACCTGGCATTCAATGCAAAATATCCACTGTCTGTAGGGTTGAGAGGAGGGGACCCAGCAGAGGCTGCATTTTACCAGCCCCAAGTGGCCTCTGAGTGGGTGTGGGAGGTCCCAGCTCATCCTGGTTCTTTAGTGACCATTGCAAATGCAGGCATTTCCACCTGTCTGCTGCAGAACTGCAGTGTCTGGACCACTCGCTCAGGGAGTGAAACATCTTGTTCTGATGAGTTTCAAATCCATGTTTCCCAGGAGAAAAAAGTAGTTAAAATATGCTAGCTGTGTCCAAAGGCCGACAGCCAGTCTGGGTTGGTGTCCTCTTCTGAGGAAAATAGGATACTGTGCAGCAAAGGATAAAAGATTAAAACTTGGGAGATAATTTTAAAAATTAAGTTATTTATAGTTTTTGATTTGGGAAATCTTTCTGTACTTTCTGGTTTATGTCTCCTGCCATATTGTTCTTCCTGACAATTAAAAGTGCCACCTTGCAAGGTCTGTATGCTGTATATATTAACTGACACTGTTGTGTAGTCAGTAATTTCAGAGCACTAAACAGGTACTACCAAGTATATGAATCTTAAACATAATTAATGCAACTGAGGACTGCTTTCTTTTTGAAATCTCAATCACATTCCTAGTAAACAATGTGTAAAACCCATTATAGTATATATATCAACAATTTAATTAAAAAACTTGCCCAAGCAATGTTCTTAGGAGAAAATATATTGGGAAATCACTAGCAGAAAATTCAGAACAAAGATGTTGTGTTATAGCTTAGTTTATTATGTCCTTCCATATGTAGGTGTTTAATTTGAAGCACTCATTTAAATTTAAATTCATTGCCGCCCAAAAAATCCTTAGCAGAGAAAATACAAGTTATGCATTTCTATGTTGTTTGATAATGATACCTTTGCTTTATATTTTTCAGGAAAGGTGGTTTATGGGGAGCCTATTGCTGCCAGTCTTGGCACTGATGGCACCAACTACTGGAATAAAGACTGGGCTCATGCTGCAGCATATGTGATGGGACCCCCACTGAGGCCAGATCCATCTACTCCTGGTTTCCTCATGAACTTACTGGCCAAGTAAGCAGATGAACAAACAGTGACCACTGATACCCAAATGCACAGCAAATTTTGTCAGGAGTACATAATAGCAGGCTGATGCTCTGGAGATTTTCTAAGCACAGAATGTTACATTATCAGAAAGGAGAAATGGAGGGCGAAACCACAGATTGAAAAAAATTTCTCTTTTCATATTTTATTTCTCTGAACTCTTACAGTTTTCTGTCCACATACAATTTTATTCAATAAACCTTGCCTTGCTCATACCACAGCAAAAATTGTAATATGACCAGGAAGACAGGCTGTAAGTCAGTGGGAAATGTGTAAAAGGTGAGGTCACAGCTAGATTTCTGGGGTTTGTTGTCTGATGTCTTTTTCACTTGAAATTCAAATGCTGCATAAAACTAAGCCTGCTAACTTCTGAGGGTACATACAAGATATTCACTTCATAACATCTACTTAAGAAGGATGTAGAAAAAGAAGTATCTTTAGGATATCTGCACTTAACAAGATGTGTGGTTTGCTGGTATCTCATTACCAGTAAAGGTTAACTGCACAAAAGGGTTGAATTTGACAGAACAGCCTGTAAAGGTATGCCTGAACACAGAATAACTGTTGTGCAGATCCATAGTAATTTCAGAGGTCATATGGAGTGACGCAGACTAAAATTGCCCAAAGTGAGGATGAAACCAAGCTGCTTGTTCTGGGCAAAGTGGACAATTCCTCCATTTGTGGGATGTCTTTGACATATCCAGAGTAAAAGAGTCAGTGTTGGTGCTTGTTTTCTTCTGAGGGGTTTCTGAAGAGGAAACTGCTTCATAGGGTAACTGGCTGTTACTGTGGAGCCAGTCTTGGAGGATGGGACTGAGGGCAGGCTGGCAGGGCATATCAGTTTTTGTCTTGAAGGATGGATATTTTGGTCCACCCAGCCTTACAACAGGTTTTCCTCTGTGGTACTGTCTGGTACATGCACTGATTCATAATGAACTTTGTTTTCTGCAGTGGTGACCTGTCTGTGACAGGGACTGACAATTGCACCTTTGACATATGCCAGAAAGCTCTGGGCAAAGATGACTTCACAAAAATCCCTAATGGAGTGAATGGTGTGGAGGATAGGATGTCAGTCATATGGGAAAAGGGCGTGGTAAGTAAATCAAAATGTCCAAACATAGAGGTAATTGATTTCTCCCACAAAACATGATCTCTCAGCAGGTATTAACTCTTCAGTTTTATCAAGTGTGTTTATCATAGGACAACTCATTCAACTGAAAACTATAATAGTTCTTATTAGCTCTCACTTTATGCTCATGGAAGATGGAAGAAGATTCTTAGTGTCTAAAGTATTTCACTGAAGAATCATTTTGATTGTTTAGCATTAAGGGATTGCTATTGTTTCAGTGGTATTGCAAGTTCATTTCCTTGAAGCATTTTTTTCAGCTTGTGAAATGAAAATAAAAGAGGTACCTACAGCTTCAACTCTATCAGCTGTGTATTTTTTCCTTTTTTGATCTCTCTCCAACTTAGCTGTTGGAGGAGTTTGCACAGTGGTGTGCCTGTCAACTTGTAATTTATGTTTTAATAAATGTTTCTCAAATGTGATAAGATGAAATGAGCAGCTTCAAGTCCCACTGACTTCAGATTCTCTTGCCAACACAAGAATGGTCAGTGCTTCTCAGGCAATGTCTGATGAGGGGGGAGGTAAGGAAATCTCTCAAGGAATCTGCTTCATACTAGGTGTTATGATTGCTCTGGCTAATGCAAAACTGTGACGTTCTGGAAGTTCTAGTTCTATTGAAGTTCTCTTGCAGTAGTGATGTCACCTTGACAAGGCACTGTGAAGCATATTCACTTGTTACGGTATAATTACCTACCTCACACACTTGGTAAGAATGTGGTTCATGATATCTCTTGCTTATCTGTATTTGGGATTCAGCTTCAGTTGATATGTTCAAAACACACACTTGTGCCTATACTTCCCTGTGGCACAGCTCTAGTGAGATTTCTTATGGTGTAAACAGAAGTTTAGCTTGTGGCTCATATGAAACTGAGACATGAATGTGCTCATCAGTGCTACTTTTGAACAGTGCATCCTGTTGGGCAAGTTCATTTTTTAAAAGTTTTTCAATTGATAATATCCTCCCTTTTTTCATTTGTAAAATATTACACAGTTGTGTGAGTTTGTTTGAACAGCTTCTCTCTCCTCCCACACACTATTACTTAGAAAAGCAGTGTTCACCATTTTCATTATACTTTTCTTCTCAGATGACTGCTCACAGACCACCATAAACATGTTTTTATGGTAGTCTGATTCCCAGACTCACCTGTGCACAATATTACTGCCAGGGTAGTTGGCTTTCCAAACAAAAAACAGTCATGGCAGCTGGATTAAATTAGTGACACAGCAGTGGACAGTCTCAAGACATGTATATCCATTGTTATTTGCTATTTTGCTGAAATGTCACGTCAGCAATCTGGTTTTTATACTACTTGATTGCAGCATTTGCTGATCGCTGTATTTGCAAATCAGTTTTCCTGTATTACACATTGTACCTTGCCTTGCCTTATCACCTTCTAGGCTCCCCTTGATACTGTGTCACCTTTTTCAAAACCAAGATACTCCAGAGATGCTACATTTCCTGAGGAAATTGCTGAGTAGAACTACAGATTTAAAACCACCTAAAACATTTAATTTCAGCTGACTTGAGGCTGGATCCACAGAATGTTTCGTTCAAAGTTGTCTTTTTTTTTCTCTTTGCTGTGGGATAAAGTAAGATAAAGTTACTGTATGTAGTGAAACATACAGTATGCATTATGGGCATCTGAGACAAATAGTTTTTACTTCTAAACACTTTTACTTCTAAATTCTTCGGTATGACCTTTAAAAAAATGATGGATGTCACTCATCCTACTTTTTCAACAGAAAAAGTTTTTCAACAGAAAAACAAGAACATTTTTTCATTCCGTATTTAAAAAAGTAACCAGTTTGCTTTTGTGTACTGTTTTGCAGCACAGTGGAAAAATGGATGAAAACAGATTTGTAGCTGTTACCAGCACAAATGCAGCAAAAATCTTTAACCTTTACCCAAAGAAGGGCAGAATTGCTGTGGGCTCTGATGCTGACATTGTAGTTTGGGATCCTGAAGCTACAAGGTATGCATGGGAAGTCGTTCTCCCCCCTCCCCCCCACCCCCAACCCTTCCAGCCTTTCTGCAGGAAAAAAGCAACACAAAAGCCTATGTACAACAAGAAGCCTTTAGTTGAGGTTATGGTAGTTTTAAATAGCACCTCGTGTGAATTAATTAAAGGGGTTTTTCTCCAACAGTAGTGTAGGTAAGGAGAGATCTTTGATCTTTAGATGGATTAAAAGGCATTCTCTCTGATTGCTGACCAAGTACAAAAATTAAAAAGTCTGTACATTATGCAACCAGAGCTTGGTATCCTAAGAGTAAAAATAACTCCTTTGGGATTTTAGAGCAACTCTTTTTAGTGCAGGAGTATGTTTGAATTCCTCTACTGCAAAGGGCAGGGAGAAGAGGTTGCTGCACCATGACCCGTTACAAACTTGTGTTTTGAACTTAGAGCCACTTAAAGTATGATCAAAGGTAGATTGAACTTACTTCTGAAGCTCAATCTTTTCATGCTTACACTTTTATTTAAGGAGTTTTCTGATTATGTGCACAGTAATTCTGCTAGAATAGAGCTTGTGGCACTGGCAGATGCACAAACAGTATCCTGGTGTGTCTTGGTTTGGAAAGACAGGAGTCTAATAAGGAAGGCAGGAGCCTCCCCTGAAATGGAGAATGTAAACCCCCCTTGCCCCTCCGAATTGCTATAAATTTTAAATTAAGGGGCTCTCAGGCAAAAAATATGGGACTAGGAAATAACAGTTCTTTAATAGGGAAGAAAAATAAAAGGATAAAACAAACAATGCAGTACACTAAAACAGCTCTGAGTCAGAACTCAACCTGTCACCCTGTTGGTCAGGTTGTTGGTAACAGTCCAATTGGAAATGTGGCTGCAGTCCTCCCAGAGTGTCAGGGGTGGCTCTGTTGGAGCAAGGGGGTCCTGTAGAGAAGGATGTATTCTTCCTCCAAAGATCCAGCAGAAGAAGAGGCAGCTGCTGTTCCTCTGGGGAATCCAGTGGAGAAGCCATGCCAGTATGTTAGAACTCTGGGTTATATCTGGGTAGCATTGCCTGGCTCCTCCCTCTGGGCGGAGCATCTCACAGTGGAATATAGTTCTTATCAGCCATGCACTGATGTACTGATAACTGATAACATCAGCAGATGTCCCCTCCCGAGGGAGGAGTGATTGTGAGCACTCAGAGAGAGAGATAAAGCAAACTGCCTACTTTACAAAAGACAACTGCCATACAGATGGTAATAGAATATGTCTTGCCTTGCAATCTGGAACATGGTGTCTCACCCTGCAGGACTTGATCCCATGGTATACCATGGAAAGGGCATAAAGTGAGCTCACACAGCATAGTGTGCATTACAGCTGATTCCTGTCCTCAGGTGTATACAATCAGCCAACTCCATAGTCAGGCCTCTGTAAATATTTCGGGAATAATATCTTGAGTCTTGCTCTGGCTCTTGTGCCCGTCCTGGTCTTGTTTGAGCTGCCTGGAAATGGTCTGAGGGCTGTCTGTCAGAGCCAGATCTCCTGGGGAGTTGTATCTCATCTGAGCTGCCTAAATGCTCTGTGAGTGCATCTGCACTGTCCCAGTGCTGTGCAGGGTAACTCAAGTCTGCAGGAACTCTAACAGCCAAGCCCTACCTCTGATCACCCATGCACACAGCAGCAGCAGCAGGTCAGGAAGTGTTCTGGGCTGGTGGTTTTCTTCATGGGCTCAGCTCTAGTGAGCAGTGTGACCACACAACTGTGCTTTCAGCCTTTGATTTTTGAGAAGGAAAAAGTTGAATACTCTTTTCATGGTGTAGGAAAGTTCTGAATTGTAAGTGGACATTGTCTGATTTTGGTAGCCAAAAAGGTAACATGCTGCACACCCTCTGCCCAGTCCTAGATTTACCTTAAACAAGCAAAAGTCTTTGACCAATCTTCTGGGTTTTTGATCTTTGATATGTAATGCTCACTCATTTCAGTATATTAATGAGTAGCAAAAACATGTGTTTTAAGCTACAACATTTGAGCATATGGAGGTTGCTATTCAGAAGTCCCATAAAAAAATTGACAGTACCAGCAAAAGAAGTTTCAAGAGTGTCAACAACCCAAATAAATATAGAGGCTTGCCCAGTGCTGGGTCAGGGAGATTTTCATGTGCATTATGCCTTCTGGCATGTTGAGTAGGCATATTTTGAGATACCAGCACTGAGCTATTTCAGGAGAGTGGAGCTATGAACTCTGATTTAAAAAACCCCTGAAGGATTGTTTTCTGAACTCTCTTCTGCTCTGCCTGGGGACAAATGAATCTAGAGGGATAACAGAGTTCTGACAATGTTCTCAAGGTGCTTTGTCAGCTCCTGTAATTATTTGATTTTTTTTCCTCTCAAACATTTCTTCTGCTCCCCTTCACTCTCTCCTGAGTGCCCTAATTGCCTTTTCACCCTCTTTAGCTGTGAAGGTGCAGTTTTTCTTTAAGCATTTTTTTAAACATTTGAACTGTATTTTCTTATTGAGCAAGCTTATTTAAAGTTCAGCCAATATTTTTCTTTGGGATCTGGTATTGTTTCCATTGTTTATCCATTTGGGTTTGCTGGGAACAGTCTCTCTGCTGGTACAATTTTGTGAACTATATGAGACAGTATAAATAAATCTCACTGGAACTTGTCTATTAATTTCACTACAAATCCTGAAGAGGGCATAAACAGCCCAGCAGAAAAAAGGGATCGAGCTATTGGAATTCAGCCATTTAAGATGTTACACAAGGCACAGCCTCCTGTGCTTTGTTGATTCTGGGGAGTGATTTTTGGTTTCACAATAGGCTTGTTCCTCTTTCTTGCTAAGTTCTTCCTCTTTTGTGCATGATTTTTTTTCTTATTCGCAACCATGAGTCTTGCAATTTTCCCCATTCTGGTTGGAGGTTGTTTTGCTGTAGTCTTAGAATTCTGATTGATACCAGTCTAATGAGTTAGACAATTGCTGAGGTATTGCTGTGAGGAATTGATCTTATCACTGTCTGTCAGAGGAAGTCTATACAGAAGATTCTAGAGTCATTTAGAAAGGTAGTGCAGCTCTTTCATACAAAAACTTGTACCCCACAAAATCAGCGGCATTTCCCCACCCACGTCATTGCCCAATAACGTCGGGTGCTATCTGAGCACTCAGGATTTTCTCTCTCTAGGTTACAGAACCCCAGTGAATTCAACGTGACGGCTCTGCAAACTGGGAGCAATTGCAGTTTAACGTTCTACTTCCAGCACTGCTGCTCTAGCTGAGGCTTTCAAGTGTCAGCTTCATTGACTGGCCTATTTCTGTAGCATTTTCTGGTAATTTCTGCAGAAAATACTATATCAACAATTATATCATTTGCTACTCTGTTTAAAAGCATCTGAATATTGGTTTTAGCAGGTCTGCATGACAGCAAGCATTATTGGGAAGAAACATTTAATGTACAAATTCGTTAGGAACTGGATTACAAAAGATGGGTTGTGAGTCATGCCCCAAAGTAGGTGTTTTTGTTAGCTTCCTTATACTTATTCCATTCATTAAAGGCCACAAAAATACAAAAGGGATCTGTTGGTTTATTGCAAGCCATGTGCTACCAAATATCATATTGCAGACCTCAACACCCTTAGCATCCCAAGTACAGTCTGTACATACAGGATTGTTCTGTGAAGACTCCTTGGGAAAATGCATGTAGGCAGCAAATGTGTACTCACTGTACCATCTTATTTTAATCTGTGCTTTGATAAAGACTATTCACTGACTTCTTTTGTGGCTGCACACAAATAATATAAAAGCCTCAAGTCTGAGACAAAAGCAACTGTAATGACTTTTTTTAGGAGGAGAAAGCAGGGCAGGTAAGGGAAAGGGAATTTCACCTGTCAGCAAGTCAGTGTCCTCTATAGCTAATGCCTTTAGCTATTTGAAAGCAACAGTATAAAATCTCTAGGGTTTGTTTCAGAAATGCTCAGCAAGGAATCTAAACACTGCAGTGCCCAATTCAGGCAGTGAAAAGAGCTGAGCATCCCTTGTAAAATAGGGGCAGAAGGTCCTAAAAATCTTGTAAAGAGACATCCAGCTCCCAGCAGATATTAGGGCTCAATTAATTCACTGTAGCCTGTCAGAGCCTTGCAAGTAAACTCTGGATCAGGTCCCAAAGGCAAGATCAAACACCCATAAGGATAAAAAACCTGTCTCAAATAGAGTTTAACTTTCTAAGTCCAGCCACTTCATTATAACAACATGCAAATTGGGAAGCCACACTCCCCAGGGTTTTTCCCTCATTAAATATAGCTGAGAAGTTAGATACTTCTGATTGCAAAGGCAGAGCTGGCTGTGCAGGTAGCACCATCCTCTTTGGGCTTTGCTGGAGTGGCCCATTTGGCAGGCCCAGGGTGTGCCCCACACGGGCTGGGGGAGCTGGGCTGGAGCCCTGAGCAGGGCAGTGGTGGCTGCAGCCCCAGTGCAGCTGCCAGAGTGGGGCCCTGGCCAGCAGGAGATGTGGGAAGCCTTTAGTGGGGATGGGAGGAGGAAAGGGACACGTCACTCTGTAATCTGCCTGCCTGACATGACAGAGGAAGATGTTTGTTTCTAGTTTGTTTCTAGTATTTTTGCATTTTAAGGGAAACAGTGACTGGATGTGAATCAGCAAAATGTCGGAGTTCCCCTGTCTTCTGGCATGTTCCCTCAATGCCTTTGCTTCCATGCAGATATGTTCATGGCTAAATCTTTTGCATTTGTTAGAGCCAAAATCTGTAGCCTATGTCTGTCTCATTTGTAGTCAAGTCTTCAGCCTCAGAGGCTTAAGTGGGGACTTCACAATGTTTAAGCACTCTGCCAAGTAACTGCCTGTAATTTTTAGTAACATAAGAGAGGAAGAAACCAGGATGTTAGCAGATTAGAATAAATAATGCTGTATCTATCTTACTCTTTTGATGAATGAGCATAATTTTGAATACTGAATATACAGATGACTGCATCTAACCACAATGAGACAGAAGGAAATAATGTGGTGTACAAATATC